TCTGAGGAAATAAATATGTATAATTAAATAATTCAATTAAATTGGTAAGTCAGCAAAATTATGAACAGTGTCTCAAAATAACATTTTGGATTACGACAAAGAACATTTGTCACTGCAAATGCCACTTCCACACTAAATTTGCTACTTATACCCCTTCTATTGGGTTAAATATGCATGAACATGAATGTCTCTTTCATAACTCAAAATACAAGATCCAAAATCAACTTTGAGGTTTTGAAAAAATATCCAAAACATAAAGGTAATCAAAATGGTATTAAATTAAAAGCACACCAAATTAAATCAAAGAAAACTGAAAACATATACCCATTTCCAAATTATATCCAACAACATTAAATATAATAATATAAAACCCTGCCCTTTAACATAAATGATGATTGTCTTTCACTCATGAAAGAAAACAATTATTCATATGACTTACATACTTCATATGGATATTTCCACACAGAAGAGAGGTACTGCCAGAGACAATGACAGGCTCTGGACCCCAGCCACTGATAAAAGGGGATCAGATTACAAGTGTTCTCCCTAGGTCTGGGCAAAAAAACACAAAGCACACATATTCAACAATAGTCAACAATATAGGCAAACTAGTTTCATGTACTATCATTTGTTTGCAGATAAGATTCCTGAATATCTGTCAGAATGTCAGATGATTTGAGGAAAAAGACAGTTCAGTAGATCCCAACCAGTGGCAAGAGTAAGTACCAACACTATCAATTCATACAATGATATGTGCATGTTACTTTTTTTACTCTATATTTAGCTCAAAGAAAATTTGATAAGGTACTTATGTTTACAAGTTGTACTTAGAACAGAACAGGTACTCGTACATCTCATGTTCATCTATTTTTCTGAAGTACTATTGCTTAGCCTTTGTATGATGTGCTGATAACTTCACAGTGTGACATTCTCTCCATTATACCATACTGTCAGTATGTATACCTATATACTAAAGAGGAATCTTAGAAGGTAATCAAAAGCTCACCCTGAGATTAGGCTGTGGGTCTGCTACTGATCTAAATTATATAACACACTTTTCATGTAATAAGCTACAAACCAAACAGACATTGCCCCAAAAAGGACATTTCCCTACTCATAAAGTTCCCCACACAGACATTTCCGTATTCGAACATTTACTTACATGGACAGTTCCCCACACGGACATTTCCCCACACGGACATTTCCCCACACGGACATTTCCCCATGCAGACATTTCCCCACACAGACGTTTCCCCACACGGACATTTACCCACACTGACATTTACCCACACTGACATTTACCCACACAGACGTTTCCCCACACAGAAATTTACCGACACGGACATTTCCACACACGAACAGTTCCACATACGGACCGTTGGCAACGTGGACATTTCCCCACACAGACACAGACATTTACCCACACTGACATTTCCCTACATGGACATTTCCCCACATGGACATTTCCCTACCTAGACATTTCCCCACATGGACATTTCCCCACACGGACATTTCCCCACATAGAACTTTCCCCACAAGGAAAATTCTCCACGCAGACATTTTCCTACGCAGACATATCCCCATGCAGACAAATCTCCACATGGACATTTCCCCACACTGACATTCACCCACACAGACATTTGCCCACACAGACATTACCCAGCACGGACATTTCCACACATGGACTTTTCCACACACGGACAGTTTCCCACGCTGACAGTTTCCCACGCTGACATTTCCCCACATGGACATTCACCCACACAGACATTTCCCCACACAGACTTTTCCCATACAGACAGTTTCCCACGCTGACATTTCCCCGACATGAACATTTCCCTACATGGACAGTTCCCCAAACAGACATTTCCCTACATGGACATTCCCCCACATAAACATTTCCCGACATGGACATTTCCCAACATGGACATTTCCCTGCATGGACATTTCCCCACATGAATATTTCCCTCCATGGACAGTTACCCACATGAACATTTCCCCACACGGACATTTCTCCACACGGAAATTTCCCCATTCAGACAGTTCCCCTACAAGGACAGCTCCCCACACAGATATTCCCCACACAGACATTTCCAAATGCAGACATTTCCCAACGCAGACATTTCCCCAAGCAGACATTTCCCTGCACTGACATTTCCCCACACTTACATCTACCCACACAAACAGTTCCCCATACGGACATTTTCCCATACGGACATTTCCCTACCTGGACATTTCCCCACTTGTACATTTCCAAACCTGGACATTCCCCCACACGAACATTTCCCCCACACGAACATTTCCCCCACACGAACATTTCCCCCACACGGACATTTCCCCCACACGAACATTTCCCCCACACGAACATTTCCCCCACGAACATTTCCCCCACACGGACATTTCCCCCACACGAACATTTCCCCCACACGAACATTTCCCCCACACGAACATTTCCCCCACACGGACATTTCCCCCACACGGACATTTCCCCCACACGAACATTTCCCCCACACGAACATTTCCCCCACACGAACATTTCCCCCACACGGACATTTCCCCCATACGAACATTTCCCCCACACGGACATTTCCCCCACACAAACATTTCCCCCACACGGACATTCCCCCACACGAACATTTCCCCCATACGGACATTTCCCCCACACGGACATTATCCCACATGGACATTTCCCCCCACACACATTTTCCCACACTCACACATTTCCCTTCTCATAAATTTCCCCGACATGGACACTTCCACACACCTATATTTCCCAACTTGGACAGTTCACCACACAGACATTTCCCCACAAGGACATTTTCCCACACGGTCATTTCCCCGCACAGACATTTCCCCCAAAACACTATTTTTCGCCACACACACATTTCCCTACTCATAAATTTCCCTGTACGAACAGTTCCCCACACAGACATTTCCACACACAGTCATTTCCCTACATGGACAGTTCGCCACACAGACAGTTCCCCACACGGACATTTACCCACACTGACATTTCACAACGCAGACATTTCCCAACGCAGACATTTCCCCACACTGACATTTCACAACGCAGACATTTCCCAACGCAGACATTTCCCCACACTGACATTTCTCCACACGGACATTCCCCCACACTGACATCTACCCACACAAATGTTTCCCAACATGGACATTTCCCCAAACTGACATCTACCCACACAAACATTCCCCGACATGGACATTTCCACACACGGACATTTCCACACATGGACAGTTCCCCATACGGACATTCCCCCACACGGACCTTTCCACACGCGGACAGTTCCCCATACGGACAGTTCCCCATACGGACAGTTCCCAACACGGATGTTAGTGCAGAATGTATAATTTATGTTGCAAATCTGTTATGCAAAAATGTTATGAATTTCATGTACAGATATCAGCCTTAACAATGGTCTGTTGGTTATGTCACTGGACTAGCAGCATAAAGGTCCAGGGTTCAATCCCAGGTTCAGGCGAAAGTTTTTGTGACTTATAATCAGTTGTGTTGCATCATGGGATGAGTCATGTGACCTCATCCACTGTCACCTTCAGTTTGAAAGGTCTCCATCTTGGAGAAACATGTCATGAACTATTGCAGAACACAGATGTAAGTTTTTAACCTGCTTATTCATATTTATACAATGTGTGTTCATCTAAAGTAATGTTGAAGCTATTATTTATCTTCAAATGATATAATATTTGTAGAATTTTGTATTTGTAACAACTTAGCCAATTCATTGTTTACACTGTAACTTAGAACATTTTCTTGTTATTTTCTAGTTTCTTGAACCTCAACACTGTCCATACAACGCTAACGTTCAAAGGAAAAGCATGTTAACGGATACAAACGAATGACCTTTTCACTTATTATTGTCAACGAATAACGGACAATAAACATTAATTGAGAGTATCAAGACTGTTGATTTCTGCTATAATATAGTTCAAGAACATCTTCGCTGCATCTAAATGATTAGGAAGACATTGTGCAGACTGTTGAACGTAGACTGCACATATTTTGGATTTTGAATTTTGTGAATTTTCATTGAAGTTTGGTGATTGTTACAACATCATGAATCCTAACGATGTATTGCCCAACGACAACGCTCAAGATGACAACGGAGGCATAGACACAGAAGAAAGGATGCTGATAGATAGTGGTGATGAGACTGCTACAGAACAGAAACAGCTAGCTCAAGGTGCAAGTGTGATTGAGACTAGACAAGGTAATGAAGTTAGTAATGACATTCAGGAGGATAGTGGTTCTGGTGGTGAGAACATTCTACGTCGTTCTGGTCGTCAAAGGACACTTACTGAGAAAGGGAAAGCTGAACAGATTCGTTTGTTGAAAACCAGAGTGACTGGTGTTCTCTCTTCTCTTACTAAGAAGAGAACAGAACTTTCTAGACTCTTGTTCAGTAGCAGTAGTGACAATTTGCATGTTGTTAAGCTTACCTTTGTTGAATATAAAGACTTGTGTCAAAGGTATTCTGTATGTTTCACAAATTATTATGAAGAGCTTATTTCAGAGGATGTGCAGAGTTCAGAGCAGATGCGTCACCAGGAGAGGGAGATTTCCATTCTACAGTTTCATAGTGAAGTAGAAAATTGGATTACTAGCATGGAGAATGTCCTGGCGGATCACCTTGAAAGTGTGTCTTCTAGGGAATTCAAGTCATCAAAAAGTTTCAAGTCATCGAGACATTCCAGGAGTTCAACCAGGTCAGCATATACAAAGGAGCGTGCAAGGTTGGCTGAACTTTTAGTTGAAAAGTCTTTACTTGAAGAGTCTAAGAAATTGCAATCTTTGAAGTTAGACATTAAAATTGCTAAATCTCAGGCACGTGAGAAAGTCTATGCTGATTCACAAGCAGACACAAGAACTTATACGCCTGGTGTAGTGGAGTGTAATCCTTATGTTTCTGAAACTTTAGTTGATCATGAAAAGGATCTCTGTAGCATCAAGACCTAGTGTCAATCCTATCATGCCTGATGTCAAGCCTTCTATGATTGATGTCAAGCCTTCCATGCATGATGTCAAGCCTTCTATGCCTGATGTCAAAGCTACTGTGCCTGATATGCTAAGATCTCCTGGCAACATGCCCGAATGTCTTGAAGTAGGTAGTTCATATAGTGCCGATTTTAAGCTACAGTTGTCGAATGCCAGTATTGTTCAAAGTGGTAACCCCATTTTGAAACCTTTTGACGAAAGACCTCATCTTGTATTCAAACATGAAACTTTGCACGATAATGAGCATCAGAAAGGGCTTAACCCTAATGCTTCTGACTTTCAACCATCCTTTTCAAAGTATCCTGGTATGGAAAGCTCTAGGACAGAAGATACATCCCAGCATTTACATGACCAGAATGAACTGATTTGGCAAGCTCATAGACAGATGGCAACAGCTATGTTGTTACCTCAGCCTAAGGTGCCAAAGTTTAAAGGTGACCCTACAGAATATGGTGCATTTATCATGTCTTTTGATGCCCATATAGTTCCTCATGCTAGCAGCCCTATAGATCGACTCTACTACCTGGAACAGCAGCTTGAGGGAGAACCAAAGGACTTGATTGCTGGATGTCTCTACATGGATCCAGAGGAAGGCTACATTAAGGCCAGGGACCTGTTGAGTAGTGAGTATGGTAACCCATACAAAGTTTCAACTGCCTATGTTAATCAAGTTCTATCATGGCCTCAGATCAAGCATGATGATTGTCATGGACTTAAACAATTCTCTCACTTCCTCATCAAGTGTTTTCATGCAATGAAGACTATGTCACACATGACTGTTCTTAATCATTCTGTTAACTTGCAAGCAGTTGTGTTGAAGTTGCCAGTGCATCTACAGAATAAATGGCGTGATCATGTTACCAGAGCACAACTTCATAGCAACAGGCCTGTGGACTTTGAAAATCTTGTGCATTTCATTGAGTTTGCTTCTAGATCTGCTAATGAGCCTGTGTTTGGAAAGGAAGCTATATCCAAGAGCCAAGTTCACTGGGGATCCAAACAAGGCAAGAGTTCAAAGAAAGATGGAGCCAAGTCAAGTAGTTTCGTGACTGGTGTAGACAGTTCGAACCACAAGCAGGATAAATACCGAAGTGTTTCGTGCTACTTCTGCAGAGGACCTCATGACATTGAATCCTGCAAACAGTTTGGTCAGAAATCTCTCAGTGAACGGAGGACATATCTTCAAGAGAAAAAAATGTGCTTTGGATGTTTTGGATTCAATCACATGGTAAAGGGCTGTATGAAGAAACGAAGCTGTAAGAAGTGTGGAAAGTGTCATCCAACAATACTGCATGATGAGAACTTCCATTCTGCAAGTAAGAACGTAGATCAGAAGTCTTTTGAAGCTTGTGATTCTCTTGTATCTCCAGATCAAGAGAAGTCTGTGTCATCTTCATGCAACAACATTGAACCTGTTATTTCAGATACTGTGCTCCAAGCTATTCTTCCAGTTCTGATCCAGCAAAAGGGAAGTGACAAGCTGGTGAAGATCTATGCACTACTTGACAACGGGAGTACTGGCTGCTTTATAACGGAGGATCTTAGACAGCGACTTGAGACTACATCTACAGAATCTTCACTGAAACTTCGGACTATGCACAGACTTCATGTTGTGAGTACGCATGTTGTGGAAGGTCTTGTTGTGTCAGATCTCAATGGTGATAATGCAGTGACGCTTCCAAGAACTTTCACTCGAGAGGAGATACCTGTAAGTCATAGTCAGATTCTCAATCCTGACATTCTGAAGAAATGGCCTCATCTGTGTGCTATGGCTGACAAGTTGCCCAAATACCTACCTCATCTGGATATTGGTCTTCTTATTGGGAGAAACTGTCCTCTTGCACTTCAACCTCAGCAAGTGATTCCATCTCAAGGTGAAGGTCCTTTCGCCGTCCTCTACAGACATGGATGGACTGTCAGTGGGCCGCTTTATATCAAGTTCAACCCAGTTGATAATACGCTCACATGCAATCGTGTGCTCTTCCAAGAACTCACCTCGGCAAAAGAATGTCTCACTGATGTGATACTGAATATGTTTGAAATGGATTTTAATCCCAAGGACACTGGAATATTACCTGGTGAACGTGGTTTCTCTAGAGAGGATGATCAGTTTATCGACATGGCAAATAAAGGCATCACGGAAGTTAACGGACACTTTGAATTGCCATTACCTCTCAGGGATCCAGACATTGATTTTTCCAACAACAGAGAACAAGCCGAGAAGAGAGCAATGTGGCAAAGGAAGAAAATGCTACATGATGATGAGTATCATGAACATTATACTGCCTTTATGGATAGTCTGCTTTCCAATGGATATGCCTACAAGGTCCCAAGTGATGAGCTAGCACCTGTACCAGGAAAGGTTTGGTATCTGCCACACCATGGTGTATACCATCCGAAGAAACCTTCAAAAATCCGCGTAGTATTTGACTGCAAAGCAAAGTTTGAAGGGTTTTCTTTAAATGACAGACTCTTGCAAGGACCTGATCTCACGAACTCCCTGATAGGTGTTCTTACCAAATTCAGAAATGAACCAGTTGCCTTCATGGCTGATATTGAAGCCATGTTTTATCAAGTTCGTGTTCCTCCTCAACAACATGATCTGTTACGCTTTCTGTGGTGGCCAAATGGTGACTTGAACTCGGAGCTACATGAGTATAGGATGGCTGTTCACATTTTTGGAGCAGTTTCTTCCCCCAGCATATCCAACTTTGCTCTCAAAGCTGCTGCAAAGAAAGCTGAAGAGAAGTATGGAAGCCTTGCTGCTGACACAATCTGCAACAATTTTTATGTTGATGATTGTCTCAAATCGGAATGCACGGAAGAGGCAGCTATTGACTTAGTGGACTCTTTGCAGAAATCATGTGCAGAAGGTGGCTTCAAGCTTACTAAGTTCACAGCTAAAAGTCGCAATCTTCTCAGATCCATACCACAGGAACATCATTCAAAAGAACTCCAAACACGTGATTTAGACTATGACGAACTACCTGTTGAACGCGCTCTAGGGATGCAGTGGCATATCAACAGTGATGTTTTTGGATTCTCAGTTCATCTGAAGAGTAAGCCATTCACACGAAGAGGACTATTGTCTACGATGTCGTCACTCTACGATCCTTTAGGAATTGTTGCACCGGTTTTGTTACCAGCCAAGAAGATTTTACGGGATCTGTGCATCAACAAGCAGCTCGGATGGGATGATGACATACCCGGGGAATACAAGGCATCATGGGAGCAGTGGATAGAAGAGCTTCACCATTTGAATACATTACGGATTGACAGATGTCTCAAACCTGCTGTTTTTGGACATGTTGTTTCTGTTCAACTACATGTATTCTCCGATGCAAGCACTGTTGGATACGGTTGTGTAGCATATCTGCGTATGTCTAACGATGAAGGCGGTATTCACACAGCTTTCTTGATAGGAAAGTCTAGGCTTGCTCCAGTGAAAACTATCACTGTTCCCAGGTTGGAATTAACTGCAGCCACCGTGTCTATTCACATCGGACAACTGTTAATGAAGGAACTGGAGACTACACCTGAAAGTGTCACTTACCACACGGACTCAACGACGGTGTTACACTATATCAGCAATGAAACAAAGAGGTTTCCAATCTTCGTTGCCAACCGTGTCAAGCAAATCAGAGACTTTTCAGAACCTACTCAGTGGAAGTATGTAGATTCAAAAAGCAATCCGGCTGATGTTGCATCCAGAGGTATATCTGCATCACATCTGCTTACCTGTATGAACTGGTTTCATGGGCCCAAATTTCTTTCTTCTTCAGAATCAGAATGGCCAGTACAGCCACATCTTATCCATGATGAGAAGATGCTTGAAGAAACAGTCACAGCAACCGATGCATCACAGGATGACTGTTCTCACAACACTGTGAATAAATTGTTGGAACATTACTCCAGCTGGTATCGTCTGAAGCGTGTTGTAGCCATATATCACAGATTGTTTGACTCACTCAAGTCACGGAGCGATGAGCATCAATACAAAAATAAGAAGTATGCTAAAAGCAACAGATCGCTTTCTGTGGAGGACCTCAGTCGAGCAGAGAAGAGTATTCTTCAATTTGTGCAGAAAATACACTTCAACAAAGAGTTTGAACTGCTTCAAGGATGTGAAGGTACACGAGGCCGAGTTCCAAGGACAAGTTCAGTGTATAAACTTGACCCATTCATTGAAAGTGGAATTCTCAAAGTCGGGGGTCGCATTGGCAGAGCTAATATCCCCAAGGAGATGAAGCACCCAGTTATACTTCCTTACAGAAGTCACGTGACGTCACTGATTATTACAGACCAGCACATAAAGCTGGCCCATGCAGGACGTAACCATGTACTTTCCATGCTGAGAGAAACCTACTGGATTATTAAGGCTAACTCTGCTGTCCGCAACGTCTTGTCACACTGTTACCTGCCGACGTCTGCGTGGTTCAACATGTGATCAGAAAATGGCTGACTTGCCATCTAGGAGAGTCAATCCTGCTCCACCCTTTACCTTCACGGGTGTGGATTTTTACGGACCCTTCGTTATCAAAGATGGACGCAAGTACGTAAAACGCTATGGGGCACTCTTCACGTGCTTAGTTAGCCGAGCAGTGCATATTGAAACGGCAAATTCACTTGACACTGACTCTTTTATTCATGCTCTAAGACGCTTCATAGCACGTAGAGGACAAGTCTCAGAGATATGGTGTGACAATGGAACCAACTTCACGGGCGCATCACGAGAACTACAGAAGGCTGTGTCAGAAATGGATCAAGATAGTATCAAATCCGACCTGTTGAAAAGTAGCATCAAATGGAACTTTAACCCTCCATCAGCCAGTCACATGGGTGGCATCTGGGAACGGATGATCAGAACAGTTCGAAAAACCCTGAATACTCTCTTGCACGATTTCAATGAACGCTTGGATGATGAATCGTTCCGAACTTTAATGTGCGAAGTTGAGGCAATTGTCAATTCTCGGCCACTAACCACAGTATCTGACAGTCCTGATGACCTATGTCCACTTACTCCAAATCATATCCTACAGATGAAAACAAGCGTGTCTGTTCCACCTCCTGGCCAATTCCAGAAGAATGATGTATACATGCGGAAAAGGTTGAGACAGATCCAATATTTGGCCAATGTCTTTTGGTCCAGATGGAGAAAGGAGTATTTGGTGTCACTGCAGCAACGGCAAAAATGGACGATCCCAAAACGGAATATCCAAGTGGATGACATTGTCCTGATAATGGATGACAGTTTACCGAGACTTCAGTGGCCCATGGCTCGTGTTAAGTCTGTTGAACCTGATCAGAAGGGTTTTGTCAAGAGTGCTGTACTGAAAACTCAAACTGGTGAATTTCGTCGACCGATCAGCAAGCTTATATTGCTGTTATCCAGCAAGTCGTGATTTTGTCAAATTTAGCCATCAGTCAAAACCCAGTGTGTCTGTACATACAAGCTTGTGATTTCTGCACTGTTTTGTTATATTTGTGTTAAACAGCCCGTCTGTTTAAGAGGCCGAGTGTGTTAGTGCAGAATGTATAATTTATGTTGCAAATCTGTTATGCAAAAATGTTATGAATTTCATGTACAGATATCAGCCTTAACAATGGTCTGTTGGTTATGTCACTGGACTAGCAGCATAAAGGTCCAGGGTTCAATCCCAGGTTCAGGCAAAAGTTTTTGTGACTTATAATCAGTTGTGTTGCATCATGGGATTAGTCATGTGACCTCATCCACTGTCACCTTCAGTTTGAAAGGTCTCCATCTTGGAGAAACATGTCATGAACTATTGCAGAACACAGATGTAAGTTTTTAACCTGCTTATTCATATTTATACAATGTGTGTTCATCTAAAGTAATGTTGAAGCTATTATTTATCTTCAAATGATATAATATTTGTAGAATTTTGTATTTGTAACAACTTAGCAAATTCACTGTTTACACTGTAACTTAGAACATTTTCTTGTTATTTTCTAGTTTCTTGAACCTCAACACTGTCCATACAACGCTTACGTTCAAAGGAAAAGCATGTTAACGGATACAAACGAATGAGCTTTTCACTTATTATTGTCAACGAATAACGGACAATAAACATTAATTGAGAGTATCAAGACTGTTGATTTCTGCTATAATAACGGACATTACCCCACACGGACATTTCCCCACACGAACATTTCCCCCACACAGACATTGACCCACACGTACATTTCCCCCACACTAACATTTGCCGCACACGGACATTTCCCCCACACGGACATTATCCCACACGGACATTTCCCCCACACGGACATTGACCCACACGTACATTTCCCCCACACGTACATTTGCCCCACACGGACATTTCCCCCACACGGACATTATCCCACATGGACATTTCCCCCACACAGACATTCCCCCACACGAACATTTCCCCCATATGGACATTTCTTCTTATAAATTTCCCCGACATGGACACTTCCATACACATATATTTCCCAACTTGGACAGTTCACCACACAGACATTTCCCCACAAGGACATTTTCCCACACGGTCATTTCCCCGCACAGACATTTCCCCCAAAACACTATTTTTCGCCACACACACATTTCCCTACTCATAAATTTCCCTGATCGGACAGTTCCCCACACAGTTCCCCACACAGACATTTCCACACACAGACATTTTCCCAAATGAACATTTCCCTACATGGAGAGTTCCCACACACATTTCCCCACATGAACATTTCCACAGGCAGACTTTTCCCCTTACGGACATTTCCCCACACGGACATTTTCCCACACAAACATTTCCCCACATGGAACTTTCCCCACAAGGACAGTTCTCTCCACGCAGACATTTCTCCACGCAGACATTTCCCCACACGGACATTTCCCCACACTGACATTTCCCCACACAGACATTCCCCCACACTGACATCTACCCACACAAACATTTCCCAACATGGACATTCCTCCACACGGACATTCCCCCACACGGACATTTCCCCACACGGACATTTCCCCAAACGGACATTCCCCCACACTGACATCTACCCACACAAACATTTCCCAACATGGACATTCCTCCACACGGACATTTCCCCCACACGGACATTTCCCCACACGGACATTATCCCACATGGACATTTCCCCACACACACATTTTCCCCCCCACACACATTTCCCTGCTCATAAATGTCCATACATGGACAATTTCCCACACAGAGGTTTCCCCGAAAGGACATTTCCCCTAACAGACATTTACCCACATGGACTTTTCCCGACATGGACACTTCCACACACATATATTTCCCAACTTGGACAGTTTGTGGGACAGTTCCCCACACGGACATTTACCCACACTGACATTTCCCAATGCTGACATTTCGCAACGCAGACATTTCCCCACACTGACATTTCTCCACACGGACATCTACGCACACCACACATACATTTCCCAACATACATTTCCCTACATGAACATTTCCCGACATGGACCTTTAACCACAAGAACATAACCACATGGACATTTCCCAACACGGACATTTCCCCACAAGGACAGTTCCTCACACAGACATTTCCCCACATAGACATTTCCCCAAACAAACAATACCCCATGAAGACAGTTCGCAACTCGTACATTTCCCTGCACGGACAGTTCCCCTCACGGACATTTCCCAACGCAGACAGTTCCCCACACAGACATTTCCCCACACGGACATTTCCATGCACAGACATTTCCCCACACCGACATTTCCCCACACAGACATTTACTCACATAGACATTTTCCCACACGGAAAGTTCCCCACGCATTTCCCCACACGGACATTTCCATGCACAGACATTTCACCACACGAACATTTCCCCACACCGACATTTCCCCACACAGACATTTCCCCACACAAACATTTCCCCACACCGACATTTCCCCACACAGACATTTACTCACATAGACATTTTCCCACACGTAAAGTTCCCCACGCAGAAAGTTCCCTACATGGACAGTTCCCCATACAGACATTTCCCCAAATTAGACATTTACTTCCCAACAAAGACATTTCTTCACACGGACATTTCCCCACATGGCCAGTTGCCCACACAGACAGTTCCCAACACATACATTTCCCCACATTTACATTCCCCACACGGACATTTCCCTACATCGACAGTTCCCCAAACAGACATTTCCCTACACAGACATTTCCCAACATGGACATTTCCCACACGGACATTTCCGTACACGGACAGTTCCCTACACGGACATTTCCCTACATGGACATTTCCCCACACGGACATTCCCCAACTACGGACATTTCCCAACATGGACATTTCCCAACACGGACATTCCCTCACACGGACATTTCTCTACATGGACAGTTCCACGCACAGACATTTACCCTAATGGACATTTCCCCACACGAACATTTCCCCACACGGACATTCCCACAATACGGATATTTCCCAACATGGACATTTCCCAACACGGACATACCCTCACATGGACATTTCACTATATGGACAGTTCCACGCACAGACATTTACCCTAATGGACATTTCCCCAAGCGAACATTTCCCCACACGGACATTTCCCCACACGGACATTTCCCGGTCAGTTTCCCAAACAGACATTTCCCAACATGGCAGTTTCCCCACATGGATATTTGACCACACAGACATTTCCCCACACGGACATTTCCCCACACGGCATTTCCCACACGGAAATTTCCGTACATGGACATTCCCCATATACGGACATTTCCCTACATGGACATTTCCCAACACGGACATTCCCTCACACGGACATTTCCCTACATGGACAGTTCCACGCACAGATATTTCCCCACATGGACATTTCCCCACACGAACATTTCCCCACACGGACATTTACCCACACAGACATTTACCCACACGGACATTTCCCTACGTGGACAGTTCCCCAAACAGACATTTCCCAACATGGCAGTTTCCCCACACGGACATTTCCCTACATGGATATTTGCCCACACAGACATGTCCCCACACGGACATTTCCCCACACGGACATTTCCCCACACGAACATTTCCCCACACAGACATTTACTCACACGGACATTTACTCACACGGACATTTTCCCACACTGAAAGTTCCCCACGCAGACAGTTCCCCAAACACACATTTCCCTACATGGACAGTTCCCCATACGGACATTTCCCCAAATTAGACAAATCCCCACACAGACAGTTCCCCACACAGACATTTAACCACATGGACATTTACCCAAACACACATTTCCCCCCACGGACATTTCACCACGCAGACATTTCTCCACACGGACATTATCCCAGGCAGACAATTCCCTACATGGACAGTTCCTCACATGGACATTTCCCGGTCAGTTTCCCAAACAGACATTTCCCAACATGGCAGTTTCCCCACATGGATATTTGACCACACAGACATTTCCCCACACGGACATTTCCCCACACGGCA